AGACCCAGTTAAGACGCCTGGCTGTTATGGAAAATATTGTTGTAATATCGTACGGCCCCACTGGGTTTGTCTCCTATTTGTGAATTTCCAGATGCCCTGTGATTAATTTGTTCCAGTTTACAGAAAACATCCAGTCAGCAATATTTTGAATCTACTGAAAAATGTTTCACATGAGAGCTTTCTTGGAAAACACTTAGTGGCACTAAAACTCAAAACTGCTGTCTCTCAGTAACAATGATGGACGGCTCACTGGGTGGTGTTTGCACACACACTCGTACTTTATGTCTTATCATGTGTGCAAACATGAAATGGGGAAAGCTGTGGGACACCTCAGGCTGAGGCACATCAGACAAGAAAAAAAAAAACAAAGAAACCAATGGTGACCCGGTGTTGTCACATTAACACGATTACAAAGCTCTCCATGCAAAACGAGACATTAAGTGAACGTCGGCAGAGTTTATCACCGTCATTGTGTATTCAAATAGGCAGAGATTAGTCCTCTATGGAGGCAAGCCAGGGAAGTGCCGAGGACAAAGGCTGACTGCTGCGCCAGTGGTGTGACTGAGGTTGGTTAGACAGAGAGATAGCAGGTTGTAAAATCAGGAAGTACACAGGTGACGATAACAGAGGTGGGTGAGTTCCTGCACATTACTAAAAGGAATTAATGATATCTAGACAAACAGTTTGAATGAGGCAAATCACCCAGCGGAAGAGATGGATCGTGCCAATACAAATGCCAGCATTGTTCCACAGAATATGTAAAGTCTTAGCCTAGATAAGGAAGCTGCTGATCGCCTACTCTGATACATGGCAGACAACTTTATTGGATGGCAATCAGTGTGGTGTGCAAAATGTATTCCTGCAATTCTTGGCAAAGGGATTAATAGATTTTTGCATACTATTATACAGATTCTACACACAGAAAGTTTCCTCCGGCACCTGTTATACCTGTACTGTATTCTGCATCAAATGCAATCCACTGCCAGAGGGTGCAACATATAGGATATAGAATATATAAAACAAGTTAATAATAATAATAAAAATAGTACATAGTATAAAAAATTAGAATTAGTCAAAAAGTATCAACTATATAAGATAGACAGATTCTAGATAGATATTGTTTTCTAATTGAATACATACTATATATATAGGGCAACTACACCAATTTAATGAATCCAAGGTCAGTTTACACATCATAGAAAGTATAATTCACCCTGTGAAAACAGCTGAATGATGTCTTCTTTTGTTTTATTTTTTCTAAATCTGGACAGAGGCAGGCTAGTTGTTCCCCCTTGCTTCCAGTCTTTATGTTACGCTAAGCTAACCACCTGCAGGCTCAAGCTTAATATTTAGCATACAGACATAAGAGTGGTATCAATCTTCTCATCTAATTCCTGGCAAAAGAGTGAATAATTCTATTTCCCCAAATTCCTGAAAGGTCAGGAAAAGTCAACAGTTAAGTCTATACAATATCACACTAACTAAACCCATATATAATACTTCTTTGAAAGGTTCCACAACCTTATGGGAGTGCCGATTAGAGACTAGACTAGACTAGAACTTGAGTGCCCCTTCAATATGGAAAACAGGGGGTTAATAAGGGTTTAATATGCTGCTAATATAATGTATTACATGGCAAGTAGAAGAGGGAGAACAGTACAGAATCTACAGTCAAAAAACAAATTCACAGTGAATCTTTAATGTTCGTTTGCTCTTAGAGATTCCTAGACTGACTGACTTAGAGGCTAACTTGAAGTTTTCCTCTTTCTCTCTGGGATATGACATTTCTCTTCAGAGACTCAACTCTCACGTTCATTCTCTAATCGTACAGAGGCGTATGACCCTGAGGATGGGAATAAAAGAAGAAGAAATTACTTTCATTAAGAAATTCAGATTTCCCCCATCCTTTTGATCTTGTGCCAGAAGAACATTTATGCTGATGAAATGCATAAATAAAGTTCTTAAATTATCCCGCTCCTCTTTAGCGCATGTATCAGAGTTGGAGAACTTCCAGACAAGACAACTACAATCACAGTGAGTGCCTCTGAAAAGGGATGATTTAGGAGATGGCCTGCCACTGGTTTAAACGTCATTTAGCTCAACTTCGAGACTTTACTGGTAAAGTGCATATCAAGCCATTTCCTGCAAGTGATGTGAAGGAAAACTGTAAGCACAAGTTAATAGGTGCTGCTTCAGAAGAATCAATAATATCAGTGTGTTCTAATTTATTTCTTTAGGACAAAGAATTGTCATTATTCCAAGATGTTTTCTAAAAATAATCTACTGTATATATCAGCAGTTACCTTCATGCTGCCCTGGTCATCAAGATGCTTCATCCCTTATCCACTAAAAGCAAAGCCATAACTCCTCATTAACATAATATATAATTAATAATATATAAATAATATATAAATAATAATCTTTCTTTCAAAGTGTATTATCTACTATCTGGACAGTGGAACATTTCTATTCTGTGGACAAATAACTACCAGACAGCATTTGTTGGCAAGTGTGGCTCCAATTTGACTGTAGGAACAAACCCCGAGTTTTACCGTTCACGAACTGCAGGAATAGAAAAAAAAAGTGCTCCACTTCCTTAGCACTGAATCCCTGTAACACAAGTCCAGGAGTGCAATGTTTAAAAAAGGATCAAATCGATACTGCAAAACCAGAGATATAGTCTTTTTTTCCATCACAAATCATTTTTCCTTGTTAAAACATGGTAACTTTATGACCCACAATGCAATTGAACTGTCAGTAGTCAACATGCTAGCAGCTGCTAATGTAGCCTCATGTTGCTAGCCTTAAGCAGAGATAAGGAGTGGGCTCCAGAGGTTTGGTAAACTCCACACCCCCATTTATTTTTATTGTCAAACTTGTAGTCGTCAACCCCAACCGACACTGACGGCTTATCAGATTTTGCGCAGATCCCTCTGGATGTGTCAAAAGGCTTTACAAAACTTTTTTCACTCATGCAAAAGTCTTGTAAACAGACTTTGATATGAAACATATTAATGCAAAAATCTATATAACTTATAATAAAAAAGCAAGAATGAAAATTCAAATATGTAACCGAAAAATTTCCACTGTATAGGCTAATTTCAATGCTTTACAGCTACTTCCCATCTCAGCTTCCAGGAATGACCCACAAACTTACCCATAATATTGCTGACTATAAGAAACTTGGATCATGTCACATCCAGCAACTGGAAATCCAGAAAACTGAACCATATTCTAATGAAACCGAATGAGGGAAACACTTCTGCAAAAGGATTTTCTTGTGGTCTTGCAAGATGATGTGTCTTTCCTGACAATATTGTGCAAGGAAATACTGACAGGCGACAGGATAGTAGGTCATACACTGGACAAAGAGGACCCGTGTCAGGAAAGGTCCATGGGTATATAAGTTTATGGAAATGTATCCAGAGCTGTATATCATATAAAAATAAAAATACAATCTGTCAAAGATCCATTTCTGTAATCTTCTGGATAAAAAACGTATCTGTCCATATCCAAACGTATCACCACATTGGATACAACTGTATTTTTATGCATTTATTTCAGTAATTTCAGTTTTGTAAACAGGAATTAACACACTCCATCCATTATCTATAACCCCTTATCCTTTACAAGGTTGCGGGGGGCCCGGAGCCGATCCCAGATGAGAGGCTGGTTCATCACAGGGCTGACACATACAGACATACAACCATTCACCCTCACATTCACACCTAGGGGTGATTTAGAGTCACCAATTAACCTATTAACCTGCATGTCTTTGACAGAAACTGAACCATATTCTAATGAAACTGAATGAGGGAAAAACTTCTGCAAAAAGGGTTTCCTTGTGGTCTTGCAAGATGATGCATCTTTCCTGACAATATTGTGCAAGGAAATACTTTCATGTCTGTTGCGCAACTTGGCGACAGGAAAACAGGTCACAGTTTTGTAAGAAGAAATAAAAATACCCAAAATTAGAAATAACTTAAAAGCCTTCTGGGATATCTCATTGTCAGTCATTTCCTCAGTCCGGTCAACTTTTGATCAGAAGAGTTATTTAGAAAAGTAAAAATGAGGAAACAGATGAGATAGAATCTTCAGTATTAGCGGATCCACAAAGAGAATGAACACGATGTTACATTCCAACGTGATTTTGAAACTCTTTTATTAACTCAAGTGCATTTAAAGCATATCTGACTGCTTATCAGCTTTAACTACAGATAGTTATGCATCAGCTCACTGAATGATGTGCAAGTGAACACAATATAATCATCATCTAATTCACCAAGGAAGAGATATCTGAAAATCCTCTATGAATGCATCTCTGATTCATTATTCAGGCAGAACAAATGAATAATCTATCAGGTTGTCCTGGGCTAGAAAAAGTTTTGTGCTAGCCTTGTATTCGCTGCTCATGACTATCACTAAGGTTAAATCTGAAGCTACGCTAATAAATTTTACAGCTTCTATTAACATTTAATATCACTGTCAAAAACCGGCAACAATAAAACTGGAAATTTTGTCTTAAAGTGTCTTAAACCTGCATTCATTGAGTTTAACCAAAACAATCAGCTCAAAAATGAACAAAAGTTGTGTAGAGCTGAGAGAAACTCAGTTCCTGTACTAATAGTAATTGCCTATTGTACATTATTTCCAGCATCTTCTCATGTACTTCTACGTGGCCTTAAAAGCTGGGTGACGGCAAGAAACCACTTTCAGGAGAAGAAATCGTGAAAGACAGTTTCATTGAGTGACCAAAAACAAAACAAAAAATCCAAAGAAAAAGAGGAAATGAAGATGTGTGTGGTGAGAGCAGGCAGCTTGTCGGACTTTGATGAAATGAAATGTGGTTGCCAGAAAGTGGAAATATATGAACATTCCAGGCACAGGCCTAAAATGTCCCCACTCCTGATATCATAAAGTGCACCTTTGAAACATGGAACGAGAGTGAGCCAAACCAAGCGGTGAGGCAGGTGGATTTGAAGGGAAAAAAAGTTACTTACAATATAGCAAGGCTCACAGTACGCCTTCTTCTCCACAGCGAAGAAAGGCTTGCCACGCAGCTTGGTGCTGCAGGTCATGCAGACGAAGCAGTCGACATGGAAGACCTGGTCCATGGCAGTGCAGCCGGTGCCTTCACCCACAACGTTCTCTCCACAGCTGGCACAGCGCCCTGGGGAGAGGAAGAGGAGGGGAGAATGAGAGCAGATTCATCATAAATCCAGATATTTAAGGTCAGATCACATTCATCAGGAAACCAACAGTCACAGCCCCCTCACTGAAAAACCATAAAGATCAAAATAAATGATCCAATCATGTATACTGTTATGCAGCAGAGCTGTGAAGTGTAACTCTGTTTCCAAGCACTGGCAGACGCTCTGATGATAGTAAACAGCTTGACCTGAGAGGAAGCATCCAACTGTGTGCAGCGAATCTCTTTCAGGACAGTGATACAACATCTCAAACCCAGACAGGTCAAAAGAAATGGGCTTTGCCAAGAGACACATTTCTTAAAAATTATGTGAAAATAATCCTTTCAAGTGCAAAGATCACGTATCTATTATCCTGGAACTATTGTGTTTTTGAATAGTTTCATGATACAAAGGGATCTGAGAGGAGAATCAAGTATGGTTGCAAATACTGATTATTTTGATTATGAGTTGTGTAGTGAAAGGAGCTATTTTTGTGGCCCCTGGTTGCAGAAGTAAAAAAAGTATTACAGCTCAGATGGACATAAAACTCTCTTGTTCGAATTATCAGTACCACGGATGTTAGAAATATAAAAAAAATCAAAGATACACACCTGTCTAGATATTACGACTCAAGAAGCCTTTTAGGAGATTACATTTTTTAAATTATAATATGGGGGGTATTTGTTAGGGGTAATATTTAATACGTTTGTTATTACAATACAAAAGGCAATTGACTCTCATGTATCCCAGTCTCAATAAACAATGCCTCCTCATGCTTGTTGGCAAATTTGACCAAAATTGACAAAGACTAAAAACTAAAGACATTTCCTCTATATTTTTATTTTATTTAAGTTGTTGTAAGTACACAGTATCGTTTTAGTTTTTTTTCTGAATTCCACTTTCTCAGTTAACTAAAATGTTTTTTTTCCAGACCTAGTTTTGGTTTTAATTGAACTATAATAACCTTGGTCTATTGTAAAACACCCTCTGTTGAGGAATCCTTGATCACAATGGTTCTGCTCAAAAATGGTGGATCTTGAACAGAACAAAAGTGGTTTAACTCATTTGGTGGAAAAACTGTATGTAGGTGTTATTTGGTTAGAAACATCCACTGGTTCAATATGGGATTAATTTATCAACTAAACGTTTTGAATTGGCTGTAGCTCTGATTTGCGTCTCTTCTCCATTGCAACAGCGGCTGAGGCTCATGGGTATTGTTGTATTTAGAGCCATGTGCCATGCCAAAGTGATGCGATTGCCAAGAAACAAAGTTGACATGATTAAAACTGGTGGCAATCACATAAAACTATGAGGACATTTAATTAACTTCAGGTTCGCGAGTCTGTTCCAGGTCTTTTTTTGATTAACCTTCTAATCTAGAAAGTGTAAAAAAAAAAACCTCTAGAAAATGCCCATGTTGACATCTTCAAATTACCCATTTTATCTGATCATCAGTCAGAAACCCAAATGTATAGATATTTTTTCAATAAACAACAAGAGAAAAGCAGCAGGTCCTCACATTTGAGATGTTTAGAATTTTTTCCTGGTAAAAGACTTAAAGCCTAATTATCAACACTGTTGCCATTTAAGTTTTAGCTGATTAATCAGTTGTTTGGAAGTACAATCAAGCATCAGAGATCAGAAACTAAAGCGCCTATATTCCGTTGTGGATGGTGACATTTCATTTTTAAGTCTTTGTAAATGTTTCTGCCACCAGCCTCCATTTATTGCTGTTCATTTCTGTCCGACAGGCTGCGGGCTCACTGTGGATCTGTTCAGCCACAGGATCCGTACTTCAGGCTGAGCTGTGGCCCATGCATCAACTCATACTACCCTGTTCCACAAATTTTAAGCTATCCCTTAAAAGGTTTCCTTTTCTGATGTCAGAAGTGCCCAATCTTCATTTCTATTTCAAACGCTGGATAAGGAAGGATTAAATACTATAATTAGGCGACATTAAAGAAACTATACACATCACCAAAGTGTGACATGGACGACATCTATTTCAAAATATCAGGCTTTAAATGATAAAAGGAAAACTTTAGAAGTACAACTAAGTCTTTGTAAAAGGGGCACAAGTGAACTGATATTATTGCGCCAGAAAGAGCCTGATTGCATATTGCGGGACATGGCATTTGGATATCTTTAATTGAGTTGGAGATATCTTTAATTGAGTTTAAGATGTCCTCGACTCAATGCAAGTTATCTTCAACCCAATTAATAACACTGTCAATTTAATTACTGGTATCTTACAATAATAGGGTTTAAAAAGATATCTCAGAATGTTTTATTTTTTACACATCTGACGACAGATGCAATCTCTCAGAGGAAGTATGATACAGTATATTTAATTAATTCAAGTTCAGTTGTATAGATCATTTTTGTTCTTTTTCATTTTTTGCTTCATCTAAAGGCTGATTTGGGCGATGATTGACACTCTGTATGTTCTGAACAGAGCAGTTCAAGCGTGTTACAGACAGAGGCGAGACACTAACCGGGGGAGATAGAGTATCTGATGCTTGCATTTTCACAGTTCCACTTGCTGTTTTCATATCAAAAAATTCAAATAGAGTGTAAAGCTGAATCTGTCTCAGGTATCAGCACAACTTTTGGAAGTCATATGTTGTTGAGATCAAATATCTGCTTGACTGCAAGGCCCGCTAATGGTATTCTAATCTCAGATAACTCATTATCTTATTGTCAGCCTGGGTGGAAACTGAGAAAAGTTGCTTAACGAACGACTGGATCCACAACTTTTCCAGCAACATTTCGATATCCTTAATGAAACGCTGATCTTTGTGACTCTTATATTATGGGTTTCATCGTTTATTGACTGGGGACACATTAAGAAACAAAGGTCTGACAGATTGCACTATTAGATGTTAACATTTTGAATTCTTATCACAGTGGCATTTTGTACGTTAATTAAGCGACTGCTGTCATCCACCACAATTTATAACACAGACAAGTTTTCATAAAATAAAACCTGCTATCGGTTTTATCTGTTCCCACAGCTCTATCCACACCTCAATTATGGCTGCGTTACCTACTGTACAGGGAGGCAGATTAAACAAACTAGTGAAGGCACGTCTCGGGGGGACATGTGGGTGTCAGTGGAATCACAAGCAGGGTAATCACTTCAGAGAGCCAGAGGGAAAGAGAAAGGGAGAGAGAGTGAGCGAGAGACAGAGACAGAGCATGCTGAGCCTGTTAGTGGCTTCAGATCACAGGCCATCTTCAGTGAGTGGATGAGAATGCCAAACATGTCCCACAGGGCTCCCACTTTAAATAGCGAGAAGGAAACCTCTCGGAAATCCTTTTCCTTTTGGCAGTCTGTGATCGCGAGGGCCCTCAGGAGCTATTTGTGCGCGACTGTGTGTACAGTGTACACAGTTTTACACACACGCACGCATGCACACACACACAGAAGCACACACACAATGAAAAAAAATCTATTTGCACCAGACATGCCACACATGTAGACGATAATATACAAACACAGACACATGTATCAAACACTGTATGTATAACAACAGACATGTCATGCCGCCCTGTGCTCACACATCAGCAGCCCACACATGGATTCACATGATCATTTAACAAAGAGCAGCAGCTCTGAGGCCGTTTACGTTTGGCCCTGAAACTACTGTATGCTTTATTACTATTCTAAATATAACCCAAAATGCAAAGCAATAATTAATAATAAGAATCTAAATGCGCTGAGACTACGTAATGAAACTGGCATATTGTTGTATGTGATGTCATATCAGACATGACACTCTATTAGGGCTGTAACTAGTGATTATCATTATCAATTACTGTGACGACTGTTTATATTTTTGATTAATCGATTAATCGTTTGGACTATAAAATGTCCTAAAGCCTCAGCTGACATCTTAAGATATTAAGTTTACCAAAATAGAGGACAAAGAAAAACAGTTTATTAAAATAATTTTCTTTCATCCCATTTCTCAGTCTCCCATCATGCCAAGCGTTTGTTGGAAGAGATGATGGTCTCCAATGGTAAATTACTATTTAGTCATTATTATTGTATGTTCAATCTGTTGTGTGGACTGTTTTAGGATCCATGATTACCACCGATTATGCAATGGTAATATAAACTAGGGCTACCACTAATTATTATTTTTCTATTATTGATTAATCTAATCATTATTTTCTTTATCAATAGGTTAATCTATAAAATATAATAAAATGGGTGAAAATGGCCATTAAAATTTCCTAAGGGAAAGTCTTCATATTGCTTGTTTTGTTTGTGTGACAAGACCTCAAGATATACAGTTAACTATCAAAGAGCAAATATTCACATTTAAGAATCTGAAACCAGAGAATCTTAATTAATTATAAAAATTGTTGCTGATTAATTTCCTGTCAATTGACTTATGACTAATAAGTCAACAAATCGTTTCAGCTCTGTTTGCATTATTAATTAGTCTGTCCATTTTATTCAAATGATTGTTTTTTCAACAAAATGTCAGAAAGTAGCAAATGTCCAAAGTGATATCAAAATGCTCGTTTTGACGGACTGCCAGTCCAAAACTCTAAAACACATAAAATTTTCTTACTGCTTTAAAACCTTTTGAGAAGGTACACCTGGTGAATGTTTGGTACTTTTGCTTAATTAATGACTTAAATGATTAAACTGCTGTCAATTAATGTTGTTGTCAATTTTGTAATCAACTCTGCAGTTATCCAACTCGAGCTGAAAGAATTAAACATGGTCTTGGAGTCGTCGTGTTTCATCAAATATATCACAACACATTTAGCTCTAAAGCATACTAGGATGTCTTTCATTGGGGGAAATTGTGAAAATTATTCCACAAAGTGTAAAAATGTGAAGCTTTTGAGTGAGTCTGTAACTTTTCTTCTCTAACAGTCTTACTGTATGATAATAGAGGGAAGTGTGGAGTGTTTTACAATGCTTCACATCAATAATTTCACACGTCTGCGTCGGAAGTAAGCA